ATTTGATAGAAACTGACTAGCACGAACATGCGTCCTCTCCTAAATTCCAGAAGCTTCTAGACACTCATGAAGAAGAAGGCACGATCGCTGGGATTAGAACCTTATTAGCCTGTCGTTTGGGATTCCTGCTCGAAGAGGAATCCGAAACGTTAGGCTAATAAAGTTCCTGTCCCAACGATCGTTTTGCCTTCTTCACAACTGCCTCCTGGGCCTAGTCTCTTCGCTTCTAGACACTATCCGCTTCATAAACTTGTCCCAATTAGTCCATTTTTGGACCAGAAACAATAGTGTATTAAATTTAATTTTTACTAATGGTATTCTTCCTCTATCCATGGACTTCCATAGTGATCTATTTGTAAGTGATCAAGCATTAATTCATTGCCGTCTTTCAGTTGTCATTTCCGCAAGACCTTCAATTAAACGTAGATTTTTGACTATATTGACGTTAACAAGAAATTAGTAAACAACTTTCGAAGCCCTGTTGATTGGTGCAATATTTTTTCAAATAATGATCTCAATCTTTTCTACGATTGATTACGGTGCGTAACAGCAGGTCTTCTCGATCTCATTCCACTGAAGACGCTCAAATCGAGTGTCACCTCCAGCACTGTTCCACATATCCTTAAAAACAGACCTAACAAGCTATGGACACAGCTTGAAGATCCTTTCGTCAGCCCATTATCAGCTCGCTTAAGAATCGCTGAAATACATGAATCGGTTTAGAAAAAGAGGCTTGCGCGGAGATAGGCGTGCAGAGTGTTCAACTACTAGTGGTGCGAACGCTTCTGTTTATATAAGGTGTACTCATCCCGTACATTTTAACGATGATCCGATTGCTTCGACTAGTGGGGCAGGTACCCGTCCTGTGTTGCCCGATAACGGTGTACCTGAGATAAAATTTGGGGGTTAACGAGAGATAATGTGGAACCTGTATCGATAAAGGCTCAAAAGGGGTAAACTGTCCACGCTTAGGTTGATGCCAAAAGAGGGTTCACCAAGGTAGACTTAAGAGCTATTCTGGATAAAAGCTCTACCAGCTGGACTGTTGAGTGTTAGCTCCGCAGCAGGTGTCGTTCGAATCTCGCAATGGGGCTCTGGGTATTAAAATAAATAAATAAATGTCATTCCAAAGTACCGCTTAGGATTATGCTGTATGATAATCAATATCTAAACCCCAACTCAGTAGTCTTTCCTAATCGAAATCAGACTACAAAATTCCGACCAGCATTTCTTAAGATCGGTCATGCACTGTGCCTGCGGATGGCAAAGAAAAGGATTTCGCTGTGTTCGTCAACAGACCGCCTGGGGTCGAAATGAGGTGTTGACCGCAAGAGCCGCGAAAAGCATCGATTTGAGATACGAGCTCGAAACACCTGGGGCCAGAATGGATTCCTGATAAGGGTCGGCGATTGGCGAAACGGGAGCGGCCTAGAGCATACACGTCAACCTGTTCCCGTTTCTTATTTGATAGGATTTGTCAGGGAGGACATTGAGTTCTGTGAAGAACACGATACATGGACTGAAAAATCAAAAAAATCAAAACTTCTGATGAGAGGTCCTAGAAAGCAAAACCACCTACAGAGAAGGAAGTGTAAACGAATACGGTAGCTTAGTTGCGGCGTTCAAAATTCCCGATGATCCTTTTTCAATGTCATAGGGAAAGTTATCCGGGGGCAGGGGGGTGGGAAAATAAAAGTTTAATCGAGTCAGTATTCAGGTAAAGGTGCAGCCTTCCCTAAGAAGTATGTGGATTATCTGATAATGTTATATATATTGGAAGGCTATTCCGGAGGAATGTATACCTGGAAGCGAAAAAAGGAGAGCTCTTAGAGGTGAAGAAAGCGGGAGGAGGTATAATCGAAAAAGAATTGCGAGGATTCTATGGACGACTAATAGGGGTAAGGGCTGAAGTTCGAGAAAGATTTGAGCTATTATTAATACGAACGAGGAGACAGAATCCTGCTTCCAGTCGTGGAACCCACAAAATTTTAGCTTAATTAGCTGGTATTTATCTAAGTAGGAAGTACTGTAATGCGTCGTGCTTAAAAGTCTTCCAGTAAAATGCCTTTGAAGACTTTCAATTCTTGAATGACAAGCCTTGTTCATCAAATCAAAGAATAGACAACAATACTCAAGAATGGAAAGTATAAGTATTCGATAGTCTTCATTTAATTTCAAGAAGATAGGAATTGTGGGCGATAATGCCATGAGTCTTTAAAGTTTTGGCCGTATGTCTGTCGGCCTGTGGCGTGGAGTCTAAATTTTTCGTGTAGCTTATACCTATATGCTTGATGGTGGCACATTCGTTCATATGTGTGCCTGAAAAGACTTCTGGTTGGGTTAGCTTTTCAGCCTCGAAACACATGTTGCGACATTTAGGTGGAGAGAATTCCATTAGCCACTTTGACTCCGATGCTGAATCTGCAATCAAATTAGCACGGATTTGGTCCAGGAATTGAATGGTCGTAGATGTATTGAAATGATCATACACATTTGAGGTCATCAGCATAGGTAAAGGACTGAGAATGTTTAACCGCCGACGGAACATCATTTATGTAAACACAGGAACAAAAGATGGCCGAAAACGGCACCTTGTAGGACACCACTTACAATAGGGCTCTAAGCGGAAAATGAAAATCCCACTAAAACCTTTTGCTTACGATTAGGTTGGTATGACCTGATAAAGTCTATAAGGGTACTACGAAGTCCCAGAGCTCCTAATTTGACTAAAAGTCTTCTAAATGACACTTCGCTTGTGGTGGCTGGTATCCGCGGGGATGATGGAAAATGCTGGCAGCCGGATATCTGCCTAGGTGAAGTGTAATTTGGAGGACTGTCGACGAAGGCAGACTGCAGATGAACTTAAATCGGTTGAAGGAGCAGTCACACCATTGGATCCTGCGGTCTAACGTTGGTAATAAAAATTATCTATCTATCTATCTAAGTGTAGCATACTTCGCCTAGGCAACACAACCAGATCCGCCAACTCAAGAGACTGTCTTCCGGACGTTGGAGCTTCACAAGATGTCGAAGCCCAAAATGACCTCGGTGTGCGGACGACGAACTCCCTACAATCATACGCTTATTGTTCGCGAGTGAAAAAAGCGCACTGACGTACTGTACACCATTAAGCATGCATTTGTGGATTTTGACGAAGACGCTTTCTCAAAGAAGTTCGGAGCATTCGTGCGGCTGTACTTGGAATACGACACACAGGCCTGGAGACCGTGGGCAGTTCAAGACCAAAATTGTCTCGAAAGAGTTCAGAGGAGAGCCATGAAAGGGGTAAGGGGTCAAAGCTCCTTTTCTTATGCAATCACCTAGTAAATCTGAACCTCTTCCCGTTGAGTTATAGGCAACTTCGTGAGGATCTCTTACAAGAGTTTCACCACCTGAAGGCGTTAGACTACGGCCTGGCCTTTGAGAACTTTTTTGAATTCGCTACCACGGCCAAGCTCCAATGTCAGTCGCACTCAGCAAGCAAGGCCGAGTGGTCAGATCATGGAATGCCCTCCTTACATATGTTGTGATGTCACCATCTATATAAAGTTTTAAAAAGAACCTCGACATATTTGTGTTCCGAAATGACCAAGAACGATGAGAGATCGAGCTCCTCCCCTATGACTCACTCCTATTTTGTCATACCACCATGGACTCATTTGAATTATTTCAGTTTACCCAATTTCTCTGTACACCGCACCCAGTTTTACATTGCAAATAGGGTACTCAAAAACTCACACATATTTTCCTCAATAAGCTGAACTGAAATGAATACAAACTATATGAAATAGAGTCATACATCTAGACAGCTTTTACCGTAATTCTGTCGGCATGCGGGGAGAGATCTAGATGATTATTGCTTTAGTTTAAATCTGATTCCTTGATACTGAAGCATTCTGTCATAGCAGTAAATTGGCAAATCAGGTGTTAGGTTAGTCTATCTGGGCCAACACGCCTGAAGGTGCGTTTGGAGTGACAGAACTCCATTCAGAATGAACAGATAGATCGGGCGAGTTTTCCCAAGCAACAGTATGCCGTAAATTGAGAGAAATAATACGTTCACCGGAGTTCGTCAGCATAAATAAAAGACTACGTTTTTTAACGGCTTGCCCAATATTTTTGACGAAAGCATGAACGAAACAGAGGCAAATGGGATACCTCGGATGACACTGCTCTCAGCTGTGTAACCATTTGAAAATGAGGACCTCACTGGGGTTCGTGGCCCCATGGTTAGACAAATATGACTAAATGGAGTCAAAATTAGACTAGGAAATCCTAAAGTTGCAACCTCTGATAGCTCATTCCCAGTCCTGTCCGTTGGGTTAAGCTGGCAGAGCATTAGAAGATGCAGATAGGCATATAGGTCCAGGCATATAGACGACCGCAAATCTAATGTCGTCAGAAAACTGTATAAGGTTGGTTCAGGATAAAACTAGTGCTTTACACCGGGTCATATGTGCATCTAAAATATTTCCTCCCAAACTCTTCGGAAGACTTACCAGTGTCTCTGTAAGACCCCACCTGGAATATGGAATGCTAGCAGGTACACCATGGAGGAGGAAGGATATTGACCTACTCGAAAAATTGCAACACAGAGCAACGAAGATGGGCGATGGTCTATCGCGTTTGTTGTGCCGGGAGAGGTTGAATGTAACTGACTTATTCCTTCTATTTTTAGGCAAATAAAATGTCGCCTGCTCTGGATATTCCGGATCATCCGTGGCCATGTTTGCTTTTTGGGGCCGGAGAACACCTTTGAGTTTGTCCGTAAAAATTAACAACGCGGCCATCCATACGAAGCCAATAACGAACGCACCGTAGAGAGTTTGCATACAGCCGACGGGTAGTCCGACCGCTTCTAACATGTACCCGTCGCCAGCGCACAAGCAACGCGCTAATCGACCTCATTGGACATCTTCGGGCGCTCTGCGGCAGCAACCTAACGACATAAGCTGTTCCTTTCACGAAAACCCGTTGCTGTCACCTTTGCCTCAAACCCCATGACGACGGTCACCATCAACGCCAGTGAACGCACATATGATGCCCGCCGGCCTGGAACACCGGCACCGTACACCCCGCTCTACCCTGCGCCGATCACAGCGGCCAGCTCCGCCAACACCACTTCTCCCACTCCCACCACCGATGAGGCGGTATCCGAGGTCCCGTCACCCACTGCCTTCATCACTACCGTCCCCACAACTAGCAGAACGGACTTGACCTCAACCCGTCCTCATCGAAACCGCATATTTAGTTCGAACATCGGTCTTGCGAGTCCATCGCACAGCGACCAATGAACAAGTGCACGGAGACCCGACATACATCCGTCGCACCCGCCTCCACTGTTCGCAGTGCACACACGAATTCACTCACCCCTTGGACTTATTCGGTCACATGCGCGTCCACAGAAGCCGCAACCACCGTAATATGGGCACTCAAAACACAACATGCTTACTGACAATGCCCCCATATCCAGCACTCACAACTCTCCACCCACCAGCACGATCACGGCTAATGGGCTCACTAACCCAACCAATTTCATAGCCTCGAACCTATCCCACAGTCGCTGCTACCGCACATGTTCATCATGCCTCGGACCGGCCGGTCACTTGCGGATCCATCGCACAGAGCCTGGCGAACCTGTGTCTGGGGTACACACATACAATCGTCGCATTCCCCTCAATTACCCGTGCTGTCCACACGCATTCACTCACCACAATAGCTCGTAAGGTTACAAACGCATTCACGAAAATCTGCAATAAATCGCAACAGATACGACCACATTACCACATATTCCCCTGTTAACACATGCAACACGCGTGCACTCTTTTAACATCCCACATCGATGACACTTCTCACGTCAATGAGAAATGTACCCTTCGGCTCTATTCTCCATGTGGCCACGCTACCGCATGTGAGATCCCAAGTATTCTGCCACTACGTGTGTAATCCTGGCGTGTGCGTTGTGGAGATCAGGTCGTGCATGTGGCGCGCGCAGACAAGGTCACTGCGTGGATGCACCATCGGTCGCGACACTGACACCTGCTGGACTATGTTCTCATCCGGAAGCGAGACCAGCGGGACGTACTGATGACGAAGACGATCCAGGGTGTCGACGGGGAGAACAACCATCGTTTCGTCATCTGCGTGATTAGGATTCGCCTACGGATCCACAGGAAGCCTCAAGGTAAGAGGCCCCTAGGTAAACTGAATATTCCTTTGTTGTCTTTGTCTGCCCACCATATGCATTTCAGCGATGAGGTAGTTCAACGACAAGGCAACCTTCCGGTCGCCGCCGCCATCGAGGAGAACGCCTCTGCCGAGAACCGACGATGCCAACTCCGGGACACAGTCAGGCCGACGGCCCTGGCTGTCCTCGGTCGCGCACACCGCCAACATCGGGACTGGTTCGACAAAAATAACGCCTCCATCACCAACGTACTCGCAGGGGAGAACCGACTGCACAAAGCCTACGCCATTCGTCCTACCGATGACAACAAAGCAGCCCTCTGCCGTAGTCGTCGCCTTGTGCAACAACGGCTGCGAGCGATGCAGGAGACCTGAACGGCTCGTAACGTCGAAAAGATCCAAGGATTCGTGAACTACAACGAATGGAAGAACTTCTTCTCCGCGATTAAGGCTGTCTACGATCCCGCGGCCAAAGAAACTACTCCTTTTCTCAGCGCCAGTGGAACTACCCCTGTCACTGAGAAGACGAAAATTCCGCAACGATGAACCAGACACTTTAGAGTCGCATTCAACTGTTCCTCCACCATCTCCGACGCCGCCATTGCCCGTGTGCGTCAGTTGTATATGACGAATAGCTCGACCTCTCGCCCTCTTTACACGAAACCAGTAAGGCCGTGAAGCAGCTCTCCAGTAGGAATGCGCTCGAATCGGACACGATCCCTGCTGAGATCCACAAGAAAGGTAGCTCCCAACTTACGGAACACCTGACGGCGCTCTTCTACAAGATGTGGCGCCAAGCGCGGATCGCTCAGGACTTCAAGGACGCCAAAATCGTCGATCTCTACAGGCGGAAAGAGAACTGATAAACCTGCGACAACCACCGGGGCATCTCCCTCCTCAACATCGCCGGAAAGATCTTCGCCTTTTTTTTCTCCAACCATCTCAACTCCCATCTAGAAAAAGGAAATTTTGCCGAGAGCAAGTGCGGCTTCTCCCGTCATCGAGGCACCATGGACATGATCTTCGTCGCCCGCCAACTGCGGAAGAAGTGTAAGGAGATGCGGATCCACCTCTACTCTACCTTCGTGGATCTGAAGAAGGTCTTCGACACGGTGAATCGTGAAGGACTGGGGAGAACCATGCAGAAATTTGTCTGTCCCAAACGATTCACTCAGATGCTGTGTCAACTCAACTATGCCATGACGGCACGCTCCATAGACAGTGGATTCGTATCAGGGGCATGTGCAGTGACCAACGGAGTGAATCAGGGCTGCGTCCTCGTGCCTATCCTCTTCAATGTCATGTCCTCTGCCATGCTGATGGACACCAACCGTAACAAATGCCCCGAGATCCGCGTCGTCTACAGGACGGATGGCCAACTACTCAATCAGTGGCGGGTGCACTTTCAGTCGCGTGTATTCACAACTACCGTCTATGAACTTTTCTTCGCCGACGGCTGCAGACTTAACGCCATCTCGGAAGGGGACATGCAAAGGAGCATGATCTTTTCGACGCCGCCTGTGACAAATTCGGTCTGGTCATCAACATGTAGACGGTAGTTATGCGCCATTCGCCACGAGACGCTGTCTACAACGCACCCCAAATCAACGTGAACGGAGCCAAACTGCAAGTCGGGGACAACTTCACCTACCTGGGCAGCACCCTCTCTCGCGACACCGAAAACGACGATTAAGCGGTTCAAAGGCTTTCCAAGACCAGCCAAGCCTTCGGTCGTCTGCGAAACATAGTTTGGAGTCGGCACGCTCTTCAAATCAGCACCAAACCGAAGATGTACAAAGCAGTCATCCTGCCAACGGTGCTGTATGGAGCGGAGACCTGGACGGTGTACAAGAAGCAGGCGCGAAGGCTCAACCACTTCCACGGCAGCTGTCCTCGACGGCTACTGAACCTGAAGAGACAGGACCGGATCCTGGACACGGACATACTAAAACGGACGGAAATCCTCATCATCTACGTCATGCTGAGGCAATCACAACTGCGCTGGAGCTGTCACCTTGTGCGGATTGACGGGACGTCGGCACGGGCTCCCGCCGACAAGGAGGTTAAGTGCGGCGGTACAAGTTTGCCTTAAAAACTTGCTTGAAGCGCCTGTATATCAACCCGGCCGGCAAGGAAGACCTCGCTTACGACCGACCGACGTGGCGGGGAGCAGTGAAGAAAGGCACAACAAACTACGAAGCAAAACGCACCATCGCCACCGAAGCCAAAAGTGAATTTCGCAAATCTCAACTGTCCCCACCTCTCAACGCCAACGCTCGACCGCCTGCGACATGTCCACGATGTCACCGAACGTTCCGGGCACCAATCGATCTTACTGGATATCTTCGAATCAACTGCATCATTTGGACGACACCATCCGATGCCCTCCCGCCCAACTTTGACTTGCCAACCACACCCACGGTCAACACTGACCGCACTCCTGAACACCCACTGCCATCCTTCTTCATAGCCTCAACATCCGCTGCGACGGCTCCTGCACACACCGCCGCTGCACTCAATCCTAACGTACCGACAAACATCAATCTCACCATCGACAACGCCAACGATGTGGACTCGGTCCACACCTGCCCTCATCGCGGTCGCACCGTCACTTCACACATCAGCCTGATCGGTCACTTGCGAATCCGTCGTGCAGAGAATCCCGAACCCACATACACTCATCGCATCCGCCTCAACTGCCCTCAACGCATCCGCACATTCACTCACCACATTCACGAAAACCCGCAGTAGACAACCGCCGGTCACGTCACACGATCACATCTTCCCCAACCAACCAACACACGCACAACATAATCATCCATCGTAAGCACTCAATTGCCACCTCTCACACAAGTGGGAAGTGAGCCTCTCGGCTCCTTTGCTATGCGGCTCCTCTGCCACATGCGCGACAGGAGTCTGAGACTATCACGGTGCGTCAAGCACCGTGGCTTGGAAGGCTGCTGACAGACGACCTAACACAGTCCACATAATCTGCCTAGTTGCGTGTGTTTTTGTGGAGGGGTGAACTGGTGGGCTGAGAGTCAGGCTGTAACGGCTCCTTCTTGACCTGACCTACGGCACTCTCACTCATGTGAGGTGTATGCCACCCAAGTCCCGTCGTGTGAAATCCTAGTACTTGTGATTGGGGTGAGAGACAGGTCGTGAAGGTGGCGCTCGCAGACAAGGTCACTGTATAAGTCAGCCACGGTACACACTTCCGGCATCGGAAATATGACGGGCTCGGGCAGTGGACTGGTGTCTAGGAGTGTGAAGAGAGTGTAAGGTCGACGTCTCAGTGCATTTTCCTCACTATAAACAGCCTGACGCGCTTGAAGTTATCACGGTGCGCTAAAAGCCGTGGCTTGGAAGGTTGCTAACTGATGGGATAACTTGGACTAAGCAGTCGGCCGAGTGTGTGTTTGTGTAGAGTGGCCGACTAGTGCTCTAAGAGTCAGGCTGCAATGGTTCCTTCTTAATGTGGCCTTTATGGCACTCCCACTCCGCCGGATCCGAGTCGAGTGCGGCGGCATGCGTAGGGACAGACTCGGCCGCGCCGGCCACCTGCGCCCTCCCCCACCTCCGGTCTTATTGACTTGATCATGACATTGGGCCGAGGTGGGGGAGGAGAGAATGCGGTAGATGCTGCGCAGGCCTACACTCACTATAAACCAACTCACGTGTAAATCACCGCGCCTGCATTACCCGAATGTAAAGCACAGGGCAGACAGCGTCGGTCATAACGATCGAACTGTCGTGAGTGTGTGTGTGTGTGTGTATGTGTGTGTGTGTGTGGGGTGTAGGGGTGTCAGCGGTGGGTCCACGTGATGGTCGTAGTGGTCGCTCACTTGCTTGCAGGTGAGACTACGCCTAGCGTCCATTTGCTGGCACCTAACTCTCACCTGTGGCTCCACGTAGCTG